ACACTGAAAACAAATGATTATGAACTAAGAAAGAACGACAAGGTTTCTTGAAACCAAAATATTGGGAAGCAAACTGCACAAAACGTTCGGAGACATAACAAGTACTATCTTTAAAAAAGATATATGACGCATTCAGATGCGAGCATATCATAGTTAAAAAAAAATGCACGCAATTTGACGACAAAAGGCTGACGATTCTGAAAGTTGAGTATATGCGCTTTTCTCTAAAGAATTAAATATATACTGCATGGTACTTAACTAAATGTATACATATCTAGAGGTATTTTTCAGACTGAAATAAAGAAGTACCTATAGCTGTGAAATAGACATATACATAAGATATTAGTAGGTTACGATCTGTAATGAATAATAAACTTGAAACAGTTTAGATCCATGAAGAAATATCAATTATAACTATATTTCAAGTACAACTTTAACAGTTAGAGATACAACCTATTTCGGTTTTTATATCGGGGACGGACGGACGCCAAATGTTGATGATCTATATAATACAGTTTTTGACAAGTAATTGAATTAGCGATACATGTATCTTGACATTCTTTATTTCAACGGACATAATATATAATAGTCCCAGATTTCAAGTATAATATTTTGTACTCTCTGAGATTATTATTACGCCTTGGAAGTTTTAGTCGATAAGATATATTTATAGATCTTTATAGTTTAATTGACCTGGTAGATCTAATGAACCTATCAGTGACATTTACCTACTCATGTATTCAAGGCTAAGCCCACAAAATCCAACAATTTGACAGTGGTGATAATGACACCTTCTTTACCTGAATTTATTTTTATTTATATGGATAACTTTTAAGTTTGATTTTATGTCCGTCATGTTTTCGTTTTATTGTAGCATATATCTTTTTTGGTTGGTTTATTGTTCAATTCCGTTATTTCGTCCAATCAGATTAAAGATTTGTGACACCATGCATGCCGTTACCATAGTGCAGCGTGCTTTATAAGTGGGTCATAAACTGACTGCGTCAGAAAAAACAATGACATAATATTCATAAAATTGCTTTCTCTATACCAAATAGCTGATATGGTCACCTATGGTAATAGTGAAACAAAACAAATCACTGACCGTTACTGTTTACAAGCAATTTCTATTGCAAAAAAAGCTGACCTTTACTTATATATATATATAGTATCTGATTTGATTTGATTTGATTGATTGCTGTTTAACGCCACTTTCAACACTATTGTGCTATTTCGTGGCGGTCAGGTTTTTTTGGCGGAGGAAGCCGGAGAAAACCACCGACCATCAGTATAGTAAATGAGAAACTGACCTAATTGTAAAGGGAAAACGGTACTATTTATTCTGCCATAGGCGACAATACTAACATTTTCTAAATTTACCACTTTTTATAATAAAAACCTGGATAAAACAGTTATGTGTGGTGTTAGTACTTTATTATTCTGTTTTAAAAATTGAAGCCAAATAGTATCATGAACAACTTCCAACGGAGCTTGTTTATGTTATGCATGCCCACCGTCATTTTACACCAAATTTATTAAATTTTGGAAGTCTTTTCCAATAATTCTCTTGAAAATATTTCAATAGGTTTCAAAATTTATATCGTAAATATACACACTGCGGTTATTCATAGATAAATAAAAAAAATATATATATTGTACCCTTACATCCAATCACAGCGCTCCTAAGTTGACTTCCTTCACCTGCCTTGGGTACACAAAAGGCCAACCTAATGCAGGGAAAATGTAATAGTACCGTTTTCCCTACAGACTTAACGTTTATCACCATTAAATGAGGTCAATATCAGGCGATGTATTGTTTGCAATGATTTAATATACCATATATATATATAACCCATTATTCATAATAGCTGAATAGATCACGTGATGAAGAAATTGTTTTACACATGTTACAGTTATAATTCAGTTATTATGAATAATGGATTAACTATATTAAACAAGATGGATGATATGATTTTATAATAAAACGACCAAGATTGTATAAAACGTTTTAGAGACTTGCCGTGATTTTTTTATAGAGATAAATACAATCCTTAAAAAGACAAAGTTCACTGTGTTTGATCGTATCCGTTCATAATACCCCGCCGGAAGTCATTCAGATGCTAAGTTGAGATAGAAAGATATTATATGACTTTTATTGTGTGAATAAATGCTTTTAGTTATGTATATAATACATGGATCATACTTTTGTATTTTACGTCATAAAACGAAATGAAACGAACTGTATGGAAATTATATTTTTCAAATTACGCATTTGCTATAAATTACAGTCTGGTATTTTTATTTCATTATGTTCACATTGAAATCTAGATTCCGAATTTAACCCTCTAGATATCTATTGGTAATTTGTGTCGTTGGGTTGCAGTCACATTGACTTATAACCCTCATTTCTATTATCTATACTCTTTACCACCTTTACATTTAGGATATGCTATCAAATCAGCTGTGTAACGAAGGTCCTTTCGGATAACTTCTACGATTTATTGTAAAAAGTCTGGATACCAATTTACAAATTTGTTATGAAAAATTTAGAGTGATCCGTCGATTTAATAATAATAATTGAGATGTTCGTCAGGAGAATTTAAGTAAATGCGTACTTTACTAAAATCGTTTCCGTGACAGTTCTAGCAATATTACGACACTTAAATTAGGGAGGAAACCTTGAACTTAAACAAAATATTTATGATAAGAACTGATATCCTGAATGCATTATATCCTACATAGTTAAATACGTTTCATTCTAAATATTTGTTGTACCTATGATGAGTTAATCAATAAGTGATTTAATAAGCTATTTAAACATTCCATTAAAAAAAACTCTTGTGAGAATTAAGACATACATCGACTTTCTTGGTAATAAGATAATTACCTACATGTATACCACTTCAAACCAGTTAAAGTCTGAAATGCCCATATTTGTACTCGACTGTACTGACTCTTACTCGACCATTCTGAATAAGTCTGAGTTTTACTGAGTGCAAGATTATATTTTTGTTTGTGTACATAAATCCGGCCGTTGGTTTTCTCTAAGCTTTGAAATGTATCACATTTGGCATGTCGGGTCCTTTTATAGCCGACCATATGTATGAGTTTTGCTCCTTGTTGCGTACATGCACGTCATTTGTAACAGTTGTCTCATTGGCAAATCATGCATATCACATCTTTTTATTATCTTTGTTTTTTTTATATTCTCTGTATTTTAACACAGTAACTTCGGGAATTGCACCATGTGGTTGTGCACTGTTACATGTTGCTTTATCAGCAGGTAAAGTACATTTAGAATTTCTTTCGAAATAACTAGTATTGTTGTCCTAGTAACTAAGCTTTTGTTGTCGAAAGTACCATTATAATTGAGATAAGTGCTTTCTTATAACCATATTCTGTTTGTACTATAAGTTATTCCGTCCATCGAAAATAATAAAGAAGTGTTTAGGAAAAAACTAGTTTCACCAAGCCCTATATACGTTTTCCACAGCCTCATTGAGAGTCTTTCTTCATTCGTTTTACTCTTTGTCTAGACTATAGTCAATTCACAGCTCGGCATTTTGTTCCGTGTTGAGACCTCACTGTGACTTAGAGATAAAGACAGTAATAAAAGCGCTGTTCATTTGCTTTTTGTGTGTTTTTTTGCTGTGCATATACCGATTTTGTGTCATGAATGGATGCCCCATATCCCTTGTTTTTTTCTATCAAAATATATGTTGATTTCGTTGTGTCGTTGGAATGTTACCTCATTGTCATTAAACATGTGATAAGTACCAAAAGTACATTCAACTGTTTGTTATTCTTAAACTATTAAATAATGATAATATTAGCTTATGAAAGAGAGGCGGAATATATCAAAAGGATATTCTAAATATAAAATTAGAATATTAGTCGAAAATAAACAGACAACGCCATGGCAAAAACGAAAAACGAACAAATGACAAACGACAGTTTATAAATACAACATAGAAAAATAAAAATATGTTATTACAGATTCTGCTCCATATGTGGCATCTGTCGTGTTACTCATGTTATTACAGATTCTGCTCCATATGTGGCATCTGTCGTGTTACTCATGTTATTACAGATTCTGCTCCATATGTGGCATCTGTCGTGTTACTCATGTTATTACAGATTCTGCTCCATGTGTGGCATCTGTCGTGTTACTCATGTTATTACAGATTCTGCTCCATATGTGGCATCCGTCGTGTTACTCATGTTATTACAAATTCTGCTCCATATGTGGCATCTGTCGTGTTACTCACATTATTACAAATTTAGTGAGTCTAATTCGTTAGGCCAATTTCACGGAAAAGAGGACGGGATTGTGATTATGGCTTTTGGAACATATCCGTCGTAATCTGTGAAACAGATATTCCATTAGAGTTAACCAACTCGTGATGGCGTCTGTTCAGTATCAAAAGGGATGACTTCGACTTCACTAATTGGAACCCTTGGTTTAATAGCTTCTTTGTTAGCTACAATCATGTATCAATGCAATAATGATAGGAAATACAAGCTCTGGAATATCATATCATATGCAGGCACTGCTGGAATATTGCTTGATAGAAATGGAAAGTTCTGAATTGGGAGGACGAAATCATCTCTTTTGCCACAGAGTGTTGTTCTCACTCTTACAGTATGATAATAGTATCAAATTTACGTGAATTACATATTTTCCAAAATGCCTCTTGGGCTGATATCATGACCTTGGGCCAATAAAGCGTCTGATATGAAAAATGCCATGTAATACTCTATAATACTTAATATATACAAAGAGTAAATAACTTATAATTTTTACAGTATGATGAGCAATTTTTTTAAGAGCAGAGTAGACTGATACAGACAGTGGGACGACAGATAATAGCATGTCTTTCCGTAACGTTATCGCATGGCATATTTCGAATTCACTCGGAAAATTTCGGAAAATTCCGGAAAATTCACCTCAATGGTACGTTTTCAGTAAAAAACATACCAAAGAAGGATAAAAACAAATATTAGGAAACAGGTAATATATTATGAAAAATGCATTTTTTCAATGTTTTAAAATACTTCTTGTCTGTGTTTCTTCTACTGAGATATATGATAAAAGATCATTACATGTCATTTTTCATATCAGACTCTTCATCGGCCCTTGTTCATGATATCATTCATTGAGCCTTTTGGTTCTTTGGCTGATATCATGATATAGGGCCAATAAAAGGTCTGATATGAAAAATGTTATGAAATAATCTTTACATATCTGTGATTTGATAATATCATATGGTAGATCAAAACAACTAAAATTATTCTCAGACGTTATATAAATATTTCCGTTAAACAATATTACATCAACTGTTTCTTTAGAGGTAGTAAGAGTAGCGTGCGTGCTTCAACTTTCATATTACAATCTGCAAAACTGAAAAAAATTAAATAATACCATTTCTATTATTAATATATATATCCGACAAATTGCCCGTCATTTGCGGCATCAACGCACTTTTAAACCGTGCAATAAAATTGATGTCTGTTACATCTAGGTACACATAAGAATTAAGATAATCTTTTATATCTCTATCTTCTATTTCACGTGTCTTATCTCGCAAAAATATCACTATTAAATGGTTGTATTTTTGGAGACGTGTCTTTTCGATTGCTTTTTGAAACACAAACAGCTGTAAATCATCTAATGTTTCAAAACTTGAAGTTACAAAAATTGTATGTGAAGAGGACTCAACAGCGAGCCCAATATTTGTCAATATACAGGCACCAGGATGAAAGTGACTATCCGGAGTACAAATTCTGTATGATTCTCTCTCTAATCGTGGTATTAAGTTGTTTTGGCAGTAATCACGTTCATCGCTTGAATAACAAAAGAATAAATCATAATCATTGTTTTTCGTTATTTGTATTTCCCTTTCAAACGGAAATATTTGTCTGTGACTTATATCAATCATCAGGTTATCGTGACTAACTCCTAGATTATTCTTTGAATATGATCTTAATGTATACTTAATTTTACTTAAAAATAGTCCACTTCTGCAATTTAAGTGATTATGGAGTTTTAGATATTTCTGTACGTCCTTGTTCAATGATGTAACCACATTCTTTTGTGTAACACTAGTTACTAACAGAAAATTAGCTCTGTTTACTTTGATTTTATTTTGACACTCTGCCCATGTATAATCCATTAATACTGTATTTGACATCATATCATCGGACAATATAAGAAGAACATGTTTGCTTCGCAGTACTATAGAGGAAACATTTTCTTGCAATGAATATCCAGCAATGAAATCGTGTGCCACACAAAAAATTACAAACTGTAATCGTTTCAGCGGTAATACCAATTTTTCTTCCACAAATTCTGACGAATCTTTAGCGTGAATAATTGCAAGGTCTATTATTTCCCTTTTATCACATTTCCGTCGATCAAAAGGATGTAATTCAAAAGTAACGTAGAGGAGAACTTTGATCTCTACTCTTAAGTATTTTCCAAGAATCAGTGCAAGAAATAACAATAAGATTCCAACGACAACAGGAATCACATACAATTGATATAATGTGCTTCCGTTGCATACGAACTTGTTATCTTGGAGTTCAACAATTTGTTGCGCATATTGGTTGTTTTCACTATGGCAAGTAACATCGCGGATGTTTTCAATTAAATTAATATTCGTTGTCAGCCATTTTTTGAACCACAAAGTATGACAGTCACAAATAAAGGGGTTGTTCTTCAAGCTGAGCATATCGATATCTAATTCTTTGATATTTTCTGGGATGTGATTAAGTAAATTATTATCCAGTTTCAACAGTTTTATATTAATCATTTTTGTGAAAGCATCAGGTTCTATTTCAACTAACTTATTGTTGGACATAAGAAGTTGTCGTACATTCCCTAAATATTTCTGTAAGGAAAGTTTTGAAATATTATTATTTTCTAACCAGATATCTAGCATTCCACTCGGCATACTTTCCGGAAGTGTGTTTAATTTTTTATCCCTGCAGTTAACTATGATGACATTAAACATTTCACGAATGTAACATTCACATAGAGGTGGACATTCAGTTATATTGACTACTGAATATGTCTCTTCTGCTTTGAGTCTTAGAACAGCTCTTCCTTGGAACTCAAATGGTAATTTGCATGACCATTCAGTGTAGAAATATTCCTCTCCTGTCCAATATCCACTCTCATTCAAGTTTTGCATCAATTTATTAAACGGTATTATATCCGAATAACATTTGAAAGATTGCGCTATAAATATGAATTTGAAATGCTTCAATATTATCAACAACATGCGTTTTGCATGTGAGCTTGCATTATTTGTGATATAGAATCCAGTGACATGAGATTGTCTTAAATCAATTTCTCTCCAATTTTCTGTTGTTTGTAAATAGTCACTGTCAATCGAGCTACTGGAAGACTCAACACTCCTTATAAGTGAGGTCGGGTCAACGTTTTCAAGAAAATCTGTCATAGTTTGAAAAGTTATATTGGTAAACCGAATATCAATTGTTTTAAGGCCTCGTATATACAGCATTGTAACCGGAAATTCTCTGATTGGATTGTTTTTTAAAACGAGACTGTTCAACGCTACACTGTTCACTGGAAGTATTTCGTCACCTACTGTGAGTATTTTATTATATCCCAGATCTAAAGAAATCAGTTTATTAAGGTAAAGGAACACTTGTTTCGGAAATACAGTTAAACTGTTATGTGCTAAACTAAGAAACATTAGGCTTGATAACTGATCAAACACTCCAGGCGGTAATTCACTAAGTTCATTTTTACTAAGATCAAGATACAGTAATTCAGTCAGTCCTGAAAAAGTCAGTCCTCTTATTTCTTGTAATCCAAGTTCACTTAATATAATAACTTGAAGTCCTTCTACATTTTTGAAAATATCTTCATCAAAAAAGGAAATGTTGTTTTGGGAAATTTTGAAAAAGTGCAACCTACGACTTATTTGGATGTTACTTCCTGTCGTGAGGCCATTGTTAATTAACGATAAATGCCTTCGAAACATATTGTATGGGATATTAAGATGGTTAGACTTGATAATATGGTTTTGTAGATACTCTGACCTTGACATGTTACCTGTGAGGAATGCATCGTTAATTGACCACGGAAATTCCACTTTGGCCTCTAAATCACATTTATCAACCTCTAATGTTTGAAGTTCTGGAAATATTTTACGAAACAGTTGTTGATTAATAGCTCCTATGCATTGACTTACCGAAATCTCCTTTACATTGAAAGTTTCATTGTTACAATTGAACATATACTGTATAAAACTCATTATATCATTGTGTATACAGGTTAGACCTAGTGCTAGAATATTTTTGGAGCCTTCACACGATGACCTGTTAGCTGCCGATTCAAAAGAAGTAAAATTAGCTGTCAAAATTGAAAATACACGTGTGCTAGTTATTAAAAAGAATAAATCAATATCTGCTGAATCAAAACTACATTTGTCTAGCTGAACATAGCTTATCAAACTTGAAAGAATTGTTGCGTTTTCTAACTGGTTGAAAGATATCCTGATATATTCGTCGCAAACAAATACAAAAAATCCAACTGTCATACTTTCATATGGAAAGTTATAATCGTTTATAATATCCGTTGTATTCAAATCACAATTATTAGCTGAATGAATCCTTATAAATCGTCCAACGGTGTTAACTGTTTTTGAATTTTGATTGTAAAGTGAGGGAAAGTTAAACGGTTCAAGTTCCATCTGACACAGAAAGCTGCTTGATGCTGTCACCGACAATGCCAGTAAAAAGGTTGCGTTTATTATATTACCCATACTCCATTGATATTCGAATTATGACATATTTTTTTTCTTCATAAGATATCTGTAAAGAAATTGATAAAGTTAGTAAGCAATCATGGAATAACCACAGATAGTTACACATAGGTAAAACTCCATTGTCATTAAAAAAATAATTTAAGCAGCCGTTTTCAAATTAATTATAAAGGTATCTTCATTTATTAATTTTCATGAATCGAATCAAAGGTCACCTTTGTATACTATAAAAGTCAAGACATAAAAAGACAAACACAAAGTTGTTGAAAATCGTAATACAAGCAGGCACTCGGTTACAACATCATATTAACTTGCAGCCGCTTACGCTGCAACATGACTTTCAAATTTAAAGGAAGGGAAATCGAAACTGTACAAGTTACTCTAATACTTATTAATCTTTTCGTTTTTTTACGAATCGGCTTTTTATACACCACTAAATAAGGGTGGCAGTTTATAATAGTATCTAACTCATGTAAGAGCAACTGCATAAATCTCGCAACGTTCACTACATGAACTGTATTGTAGTTTAGGTATCCAATATCATCAAGAAAGATGTTTTTATTATCTAAATTTTGATATTTTGAAATATTCAGAAAAAAATAATTTTATTTAACTACAATTCCATCATCTTTTCCTCGAATGTGACCTACCGAATTGGACTTATCACGTCAAGGTTGTACTTAATTGAGCAACACGACGGGTGCCACATGTGGGACAGGATCTGCATACCCTTCAGGAGCATCTTTGATATCTTCCGCATCTCTTTTATTAACAAGAGTTTTTTACTGTGCTAGTTATTTTTATATAATTTTTAGAGAATATTTACTCTGAATATTGTTGAGTATATTATCGATTTTTGTGCAAAGATGTCTGTTTTCATTAGCTCAGCCGTATGTTTTGGAAGCATATAATTAAGATTATAACTATAACTTGTACATAAGTACATTATGAGATTCATAGTGTAACAGAGTAATGACAAACTCAAAATATCCTAGAATTTGTTAGGAAAGTTGAAATAGGAGTGTCAAAATGTTGTTTCTGAAGTGCTTACGTATTGTTTGTTGTTTTCTACTTACACGAGATAAGATTTGAATTTCTAATTGAGGAAATGATTCAAATAAAAAAAGAAAAAAAAAGATATTGTATTTCATGTTTTTATGTAAAAGGATCAAATGATATGAAATCACAAGGTTCAAAGAGTGTAGAATATGTCGGAAATAGATACCGTTTTTGTAAAATATATTTTTTTTAGTAATTTAACTAAACTATACATTTCAATTTAAAAAAAAAAGACAACTGAATACATGCAAAAGTCCATGGGAATATATTTTTTTTCTATTAATTTATGTAACTTATTGCACCTCTTTCTAAGACTTATTGTTATCCAGGATGATACTAGGATGAAAATTGTGTATTCCAGATAAAAAAACTCATCAGTGACGCTCGAATCAAAAAAGTTAAAAAGACCAAATAAAGCACGAAGTTGAATAGCATTGAAGACCATACCTGCCAACCTCTGAAACATTCAAAGAGGGAGATCTCCCCCTCAGCTATGACAGCTGAGGGGGGGGGGGGGGATTTGCGCGAACGACATTTGCAATTAAATATATGACCTGTTTACTTATTCATCTACAAAACACCAATAAGAGTTAATATATATACTTTATTTCTTCAATTCATGGTTGACATAGCAGAAATGAATTTCGAACATAAAAACTACTGACCAAAGTTTTCAAATGATCGCCAATACGAACTTCCGAAATCCGTTATTTCGGATGTTTCTGGTATGGATAATTCAAGGCTTATGGCAAGTATGAACACTTTAAAAAACAATTATGGAATTGTTCTGGTGCCACCAGACTGTTAACTTTGTTATGCACCAAAACAATAACCTATGTTTGCAACAGTATATGTCTCTTCATCACTTTTCCCACCTGAAATTTATATTTTTGTTCACGTTTTGCTAGCAAATCACTTGACATTTTGAGAGATACCTCATGAGCATGAAAAGAATCAGACTTTTTTTTAATTTATTTGCGCCATGATACCACGGTAAGTGTGTTGTAATAAACAACGCATAAGCTTTTACCTTATACATATATAGATGAAATACCAACATATTGTAAACATGTTTTTGATGATCTAATTGTTACACGTCGTTCATGTGTATCAACACATTAATAGGTCACCAGTTGTGCTTCACTAAACTAGCGGAGACATGTTATGTCTTACCTTATACAATAACATGTTATAGAACGTAATACACTGATAAACTACCAATAAAAATCTTTCGAAATTCAGTGATATCCAATTATCCTTTAGTTTTAATGTGTGATTTTGTTGAATATGGAATGCAAAGATATATTGGAATAAATCATGGAAAAACATCAAAAGGGGATACTTTACGATTGTTTGTGTTGGCATAAAACAATTTAGCATATATGGAGCTTTTAAATAAATAATTATTATTTTGCAGTGTTCGCTGTTGGATATACTTAATGTCAGAATTCAACCACTAACAAAACAAATTGTCTTTGTCTTTCCATTTTCATTCCCTTTTCGACATATTGCACAATTTGTTTTACGTTTTGCTACCAAGCAAACATTTTAAACGTTATTGAATATTTAGCAAATTTATCTAACAGAAAAAAGGAAAGCCTAAACATACATTTCTACTCTAAAAATGTACTATAAATACTATATAAACTAAAAACAAACCTGTATTTGTTCGTTTTGTATACCACCGTACATATAAATCGGTAAAATCCTTTCCGTTTTATGAATACACTCTTAAAAGGGAAGTATGTTTAGTTTTATCCAAGGTGAGAGTAAACGTTTATCTTTACAGATCAGTATTGCACAGTTGAAGTACTTTTACATGATAATATGTTTGAATTTTTTGGTTGTCGCTATGAAATAAGATGTATGATTGTCAAAAAGACAACTATCGAACACATTACGTACATGACATGTGTTGTACTAAATATCTTCATTCAATCATCTCACCGGACGCTCCTTCATCAGACAAGGAGCGTATAGGATATCAAAAGACCAGAATTAAAACTATTATAGAAGGGAAAATTTGGGTAGGAAAGATTAAACTGAAAAAGACGGAAATTGACAAAGACATGGAGAGAATGAAATAAAAAGCATTAGACATATTGGAAGAATAAAAAGATGTTATACGTATAAAATCAAAGGAAAAAAGTAGAAATAAAAAGGAGGTAGTACAAAGTATAAAGATTGAAAAGATAGACACGATGAGTCAACACAGACACAGGCCAATTTAGAAAACATCTGTAAAGAAGGCGAAGTCTAAGAGCATAGTATGAGACAAGGAGAAAAGTATAGTGTAAGAATAGAAAATGTGAACAGTTTGAGCCAAGATGAAGGGCGTTGTGTTACACAGGGAGAAGGGCATAGTGTAACACAAGGAGAAAGATACAATGTAAGACAAGGGATGGGATTAGTGTGAGACAAAAAAGAAAGACATAGTGTGAGATAATGAGAAAGGCGTAGTCTTAGACGGGGAGACGGACATAGTGTGAAACAAGGAGTAATGCATAGTGCTAGTCAAGGAGATTGGATTTGTGCGAGACAAGGAGAAGGGCGTAGTGTTAGACACAGAGATGGACATAGTGTGAGACAAGGAGAAATGTTTAGTTAAGACAACCAGATTTGAACTGTGTGATGCAGATAGGTGGGCTTTGAGTTACACAGGGAAAAAGACATAGTGTTAGACACGGAGAAATGTATAGATAAGACAGGGAGATAGGATTAGTATGATAACTATGCATAGTGTGGGACAAAATAAAGACAGATTGTGCGAGAAGCAGGATGTAATATGAGATATGCAGAAGCATTGTGTGAGTTAAGGAGAAGGGCATAGTGTGCAGTAGGGATAAGGGCAGTGTGTGAGATTGTAGCTTTAACTTTTGTGTGTGTGTGTGTATTTTTGGAATAAGAAAATGAAGGCGAAAGAAAGGAAAAAAGCATCCTTCAGATATTGTTTTTAAAATTTATGCAATGCAAATCATTTGCACCAGACTCTTGTAAAAAATAAGATGCAAAGAATAATAGATTTCACCAAAAGTTCAAATTCAAAAACTTTTCTACCCTTTACACAAGTATTCCCCATTCCAAACTAAAGGACAAATTAAACAAATAAGTCATACTTTGTTGTATAAAAAAGAATGGCCAACGTAGATACCAGTTTCTTGTCTTAGGGAGGGATAAATCGTACTTTGTAAAAAATCATTCTGATTCAAACAAATTTTTTTTTGAAACTGACATTATCAAGATGCTTGATTTCATGATTGACAACATATATGTTACGTTTACAGGACGTGTTTTTCAACAAAAAAAAAATGGAATTTCAATGAGAACCAACTGTGCTCTTTTTCTTGCCGACTTGTTCCTTTAATCATATGAGGCTGGCTTTATACAGGAGCTTCTTAGGAAGAATGAAAAGAAGGTAGCATTATCCTTTAACTTCACGCCGTTATATAGATGATGTCCTCTCACTAAATATTTCAAAGTTTGGTGACTATGACGAACACATCTATCACATCGAACTTGAAATAAAGAATCCAACAGATACAGTTAAGTCTGCCCACTATCTTGACTTACATCAAGAAATTTCGAATAAAGGTCGGTTGAGAACAAGATTTTGCGACAAAAATGATGATTTCAGTTTTCCAATTGTGAACATTCCATTTCTCTGTAGCAACATTCCAGCAGCACATGCATATGGAGTATATATCTCTCAATTGCAACGATATTCCAGAGCTTGCATTTCCTTGATAGAGGGTTGCTGCTTACAAGTAAGCTATTGAACCACTAGTTGCAAGTGGTAAAGTTGAAATCATTCCGTCCTTCCTGTCCTCTTTTCTTCGAATGTGACCTAACGAATAAGACTTATCATCGGATTTGTACTTACATGAGCAACACGATGGGTGCCTAATGTGGAGCATGATCTGCTTACCCTTCCGAAGCACATGAGATCACCTCCGGATTTCGGTGGGGTTTATGTTGCTCTGTCTTTAGTTTTCTTTGTTGTGTTTTGTGTACTGTTTGTGTTTTCATCGATTTTCGTTATTTGTCATGGCATTGTCAGTTTGTTTTCGACTAATGAGTTTGAATATTCCTTTGGTATCTTCGCCTCTCCTTTACCATCCTCAAATCAAATTTATATGTATTCTATTATCTTATTGACATTGATCTTAAATACATTGACCTAAAAATCATAAGGTTTTTTCCCAATCTAAAAATTTCATCTGTGCAAGGTTCTTTCCAGTCAAGAAAGGGAAACTAAAAAATAATTATAAAAAGTAAAATAACAAAAATACCGAACTCCAAGGAAAATTCAAATCTGAAAGTCCCTTATCAAATGGCAAAATCAAATCTCAAACACATCAAACGAATGGAAAACAACTGTCATATTCCTGACTTGGTACAGGCATTTCCTTATGACACTATAAATTATGTGCGTCCGAATCGCCTTTTTTTTAACGTATCTTCCTCAAGAACACTCGAACCTACAAAGTTGAAAGCCAGGGTTGAATAAATACGACGAAATGTTGTTTGGAGCTTTGTGATCAAAATGAGCCTATACAGAACAGCCCAATTCATCTAAGGTCATCTTCGCCTGTGGAGTTGGTACATTAGTTTTTATATATTTGTTTAATTTATCAAAGAGTATTTAGAAAATGATGTTATAAATAAGGACAGTACCGAAGAAAATTTCCACTTATTCTATTTGTTTTTTATTTTATTTTTTACATTGACCTTGACCCTTCACCTATTGACCTAAACATCCATAAGCTTATTTTCCTAAAATATATCTTCCATCTATATAAGATTCATTCTAACAAAGCAAGTGATATCACAGTAACAATTTGTTTTGGACACGCAGATGGAAGGAAGCAATGACAAGCCGTTACTATAAACTCCTGAAAATTTTTTTCTAGGAGAATACAAATCCTATTTGACAAATTGTTGTAAAACAGACGATTGTTTAAAAATGATACACATTTGGTCTGCATCATTACGTATATATTACGACTAGAAAAAAAATATATTACATTACATAATATGCAGAATTTATATTTTTTCATTTAGCATAACGTAGAAATCAATAATCAATTAAACATTGATAAAAGGTTAATTTTCTAAAATGTTTGAGAGATTATGCACTTGACAAGGTATGCATAATTACATTTTCTCCAATATACAGACAGGTCAGTTAGTTTGTGATGTAGCTCTATTCCGCCTTTTGAAACTAGCAAGATCGGAACCATTAAATGATGAAAGTAGGAAATTCTGACCACTTTTGTTTTCTAATAAAGGAATCGATGCAATCAACATCAGCAACGTTCTTCATTACAAAGACGAAACATCTAAAATTCCACTTTATTTTCAAAATCAGTCTGTTCCTAGTGTATCATACAGTTACACCAAAACCATTGCACCTAAAGTATTCAACTATGAGCAAGCATTACAGGACCTTGATTTAGAAGAATACCTAAACAAAACCTCTCACATGTGACTGTTCCTTATATTTACAGCCCTCTGGCCATGTCATTACTGGGGATCTAAACATAAAAACATAAAAATGTCGGCATTTACCTCAAAAGCTAACCAAACCTTAAAACAGACTTTTTCGGAAAGGATATAGTTACGATACTGTTGTCAGGTCATTAAGAATTGCATATTTTGGTATTAATATTGATTCACTCATTAAGTCTTTGCATCGGAAATAAACACTATTACTCTAAAACCAGTTGTTGGCATGATACGGGTTATGTTCTTCTCATATATTTTATGATTGTATGATACTAAACCCCTAACGGGAGGGATTGTACTTGATTTTCATATGATGAAGACATAATCTTTCAATCAGTTTAATTGAGGTCTGGAGCTGGCATGTCAGTAACTGCTAGTAGTCCTTTGTTAATGTATGTATCATTGTCATTTTGCTTAGTTTCTTTTGTTACCTATTCTGACATCGGACTTCTTTTAAACTGAGTTTTAATGTGCGTATTGCTATTTGTTTCTTTATTCTACATTGGCTAGAGGTATAGGGGAGGGGGAGATCTCACAAAACATGTTTAACCCCACCGCATTTTTGCGCCTGTCCCAAGTCAGGAGCCTCTGGCCTTTGTTAGTCTTGTATGTTTTTTTAATTTTAGTTCATTTATTTGTTTTGGAGTTTAGTGTGACGTCCATTTTCACTGAACTAGTACACAATTTTATTTAGGGGCCAGCTGAGGACCACCTCCGGTTGCGGGATTTTCTCGCTGCGTTGAAGACCCATTGGTGGCCTTCGGCTGTTGTATGCTCTTTGGTCCGGTTGTTGTCTCTGACATATTCCCCATTTCCATTCTCAATTTTATAATTCAACATGAACATCTCCGAAAGGTATATCTTATGGTCCTAAGTTCAGAGAACCCCAACACATCAATTGGAACCATAACTTCAAAATAATTATGGATTACATTGAGGACTACGCCAGAGCATGGGTTAAACGAGAAGAAGTTGAACGGGACACTGTCAGAATGGGTTAAAAATTACAGGTATATGATAAAACGTCGAATCCAAAAGATGAAAAACTGTGTAAATAATCGACCAAAGTCCGTTTTCAGCGACAAAGATTTTGTGAAATGTCTATCATCTCTTCACGATAAATATGTTGTTGTTCCTGTGGACAAAGCTTCAAATAATATTGTTTTTGTATGTGAATCGTACTACTACGAGTGTCTTGTAAAAGAATTAGGAATAAAAGAGCACTCATACAAAGACACAAAATTTAACAAGGATGAGATTTTGGCGAATCATAAAACCTTCATGGCTTCAATGAACATTACACTGAACAGCAAATCTGACTTACCTTGTTTGTATTGGATACCTAAGCTTCACAAAATTCTGTACATAAAACGGTACATTGCCGGCTCATCTGCATGTTTTACAAAGCAATTGTCCATTAGATAGACAAAAATTCTGTCCGCAGTGAAAGAAGGTCTTCCGAAATACTCTGAAACTGTTTACTTGCGTAATGGTATTAACCATATGTGGATTCTAAAAAACTGAAAAACTTTTGGATAATTTTAAATCTCGATCTTCTTTGAAAATAATTTTATCAAAACCTTTGATTTTTCAACCCTTTATACATGTACCACCATTCCCCATGTCAAATTAAAAAATAGTCTAAAGGAAATAATCCACAATGCTTTTCAATATAAAAATGGTAGTATACGCTATAAATGTATTGCTTTGGGATACCATTCGCCATTGTCTTGAAGTATAGATCTAGATACTGACGTTTTTTATCATCTTAAATACATGTTATAGTGTTCTCTTTATTTGTCTTTGTATATTTTTAACCTTTACTGTTTAGTCCATTTTTTTGTAATATCCTTTTGGCGTGACTCGGTATTCATACATCTCGCCATTGTGTTATTGTGCTATGGTCATTTTTTTGTATTCTTGTCTTTCATTTTTGTTTATGTGCTTTGTGTGGTGAGTGTCTACCTGCCATTTTAATTTTCTTCGTTGACATAGTTGTTTGTTTTTATGGTGATTAAGATTATAACACAATGTTGACTGCTGTACCCAATTTTTGACATTTTTACGTATTATGTCTGTTTGTTTTGTTCACACATTGTTGTCAATATAATGGAATTTTATGCGACCGTCATACAAGTGAGAGGTTTAGCTGGCTATAAAACGAAGTTTAATTCACCATTTTCTACATAAGGAAATGCCTGTACCAAGTCAGGAATATGACAGTTGTTTTCCATTCGTTCGATGTGTTTGAGCTTTTGGTTTGGCCATTTGTTAAGGGACTTTCCGTTTTGAATTTTCCTTGGAGTTCGGTATTTTTTTTATTTTACTTTTTTCAGTAAGATAAGCATATTGTCCCATAGTTTTTTTTTATTTATATTTTGATTTTGCTAAAATAATATTATTATTAGGATACAAAAAATCAACTTGATTTTTTTTGTACAAGTGTTAACTGTTCGAGAGAAAAAATGGTTCAAATGAAACACGGAAATGTTTAATAGTGGCTGAGACACAAATATACACACTAAAACAAAACATACAAGTTATTGTATAATATATATTTTGTAAATATTCTGTCAATATAAATAACTAAGGCGAGATAACCTTGTCGGATATCTTTGTACCTAGATTTGGTGGTAAAGAAAAAATACTGCATTAGAATACTGACGCAATATAATCAGCCGAAACCATTCTTCGGTAAATAACAATTTGCGCAAAATTGTTATTTTAATTTCAACAATAAATTATTCTGATTTATTTCAAGCTTTTAGGATGTCGATTGACCGATTATGCCGCCCCCATGTCTCTGGTTTATATAAAACGTATCTGAAACAAAAGGGTCATAGTACTAGTATTATGATATATAACTGATCAATCACTAAATGTTGTAAAGTAAGGACATTAACCCGTGAACATTGAAAACGGGCCACGTGTTAAACAGAATAACACTTAAGCAGGATATTGCCTGTATACAAAATTCAATGTTAAGTTTATATTATTAAGAAGGATAATACACATAAAAAAACGTGATTAAAATAATAAACAGATAACAACATGGCCAAAGAAATAGACAAACAAAAGTTCATAAAACACAGGAGGGAAAAATAAAGATAGAATACACAAACCACTAATAACACGGGGTTGTACGTATGTGCTCAAGAAGGGTATGCAGTTTCTGCTTCACTAGTAGCACACTGCAAGTAAAAATTGTATCATAAGTCGCATTTGGTGATGCCACAATCAGCATGATCGAGGACCAAAGGACTGGAATGGGTATTTATAGTTTTATGGATAATTAAATTAAGCGATACCAGAATAAATCAGAAAAAAACGTGTGATGGACACGTACTGAAACTTATATAACATCATTTGGGTAAACAGGTCCCCCTTTTTATGGTTCTTTAAGTTCAAAAAGCAACTTAACATGTTAAGGATTTAATAAGAGAACACCAATAAAAAGAAAAACGAGACAAAAAAAATTAATCACTCTACTTTATGACAATCCAACTACTACAGTTACTTTTTAACTTAAATAAGGGTTATATGTGATATAAAAAGGTTAATGAGGTTATCAACATACCCGTATTTCACTATGCACTATATTGTTTATGCATACAGCCTGAATATATTGCTCTATATATTTTGAATAAAGCATCTTGACAAGCCTTCATTTGTCTTTCATATATGTTGATGATGGCCTGTCACTCCATTATCCCCATATCAGCGAGTGCGTTACATCAAAGTGAACTTGAAATTAGAGCTACTACCGAAACTAGAAGATCTGATGTGTTAGTTTCTCAACTTACAAGTTACCTTGTTTTCGCAGTCTTAGATGTTTTTCATACATGAACAGTTGCTTAACCTGTACCTTTATCGATTGTGACATATTCCCTATTGTGTCATTTGACTGAGTGTGCATTCGAATGGCGAGTGGCAATGCTTGTGACTCACTCGGCCTATTCAGTTCAGACGTTGTGTAATTACAAGATGAAAACACGGTAAACCACGGTTCTCTCTAAATTTGACAAATCTAAACTTTAAAATTACCACTGACGAAGCGAATACTGCTATTTGATTTTGATTTTTTCCACATTTTGTTTTGCCATGGCCTTTCATACGTGATTATACGGTATGCGTTTTGCTCATTATTGAAGGTCATACGATGACCAATAGTTGTTTACATTCTTGTCTTTTGGATTCTACTGGATAGTAGTCTCATTGACAATTGTAACACATTTTCTTATTATCATTTTTATAAAGAATTCTATGTGGAAATAAGTTAAGTTTTGCAAGAATCATTGCGAGCTTTAGTTTAAACATATTTGGTCAAGACTTGCTTCAAATATCAGCATATTGGGTATGAGTCCTACAGATGTGGCCATTTGAATTGTATGACCATTACACCTGGAATTAAGACACTGATACATTTCTTCCCGCCTCTGTTCTGTTTAGCTTTTTGTTTATGTTTCTTAACGCTTTACCAATTTTTTAACAAACGGTCGTTCTTTTTTAATGTGCACCTTTTTATGGTAATTACTCTAAGACGTTTTGTGTGAAATCGGTAGCATACGCAAGCATTAAAATAAAGAGTATTATATCAGAACTGGAAATGAAATCCAGAGTCAAAATAAATTTGAACATGAATTCAAGCAGAAATTAAATGCAAAAATAAGTACACAAGTAGCGTAACTATGCAATATACTTTCATAAGTGTCCTCTATCAAAGTAATGAATAATATTATAGGATTAACACGACTTACATAGCTGTTCTGCTTCATTCATATTTCACAAGAAAGAAAATGTATAAACCTAATATTCACATTGCCACCTGAGTACCTAACTAACTGATAATTTATTTTAAAGAATAAAATGGCATCAAGTTGGGCTCGACAGTTTCAGCATGAAGCTTTATTTATTATATAAATAAGAAGATGTGGTATGAGTGCCAATGAGACAACTATCCATCCAAGTCACAATGTGTAAAAAGTAAACAATTATAGGTCAAAGTACGGCCTTCAACATGGAGCCTTGGCTCACACCGAACAGCAAGCTATAAAGGGTCCCAAAAAGACTAGTGTTAAACAATTCAAACAGGAAAACCAACGGTCTAATCTATATAAAAAACGAGAAACGAGCCACACCAACAAACGACAACCACTGAACAACAGGCTCTGATTATTATTATTAGTGTGTTACGGTTAAATACTCTACAAATGAAAAAATAAAACTTTATAAATTTCGTGTTTCCGATGTTTCTGGATTTACATTCACTAGGAAAGCTCAAAGCTAAACATTTGAAAGCCAAGGATGTATGAATAAGTAGATACATAAGGAGCTGTATGAACAAGCCACCTAAATACCTTCATTTGATTGCCTAAAATTTGTTATGAACATTTTACGATCGCTACTTCTCTATAAAAGAAGATGGTATGATAAGGTCACTCTTTTGGTCCCTTGAATTTGAAGATCATAACTTATAATAAATCTACCAAATAAAATCCTTTACATGTTCATTAGACATTAGTCTGTAAGGCATCAGTATTTATTTTTTTGGAAATTTAGTCTTGCATATTAACTCAAACTTCTTGCATTTAGTGCAAAACAGCAAAAATTGTCAAAATAGCCTCATGTTGAGATCGATATTGTTATTAATATTGAGATATGAGCAACAGCTTCACCAAAAAAGATATTTTGCTACAAAATGTATTTTACAACTATATATTAATGTGTTTAAACTATTTGTTTTTGTGTAAAGCTGTTGTTCATATATATTTTGACCCCAAACTATGCATAATATGGTCGTTTTAGGTCAAATATGTAAATTTCGACACGTTTATGGCGTCAAAAGTACACTTTCTGCACTAAAGTGTCCAGATTATATTAACCTGTTCATTTATCAATGAAATTAATATAATTCCTAACGGGTTGAATTATTTTTACAATTTTTAGCAATTTCAGGACAAAATAATAGCTCTTACATGTATCATACCTCCTCTTTTTAAGTATGATATTTGATGCTAAGTTTAGGCTAAAAAAGCTGCCATAGCTTAAACTTCTTGTATTGCAAGGATCAATATATGATGTAAAGTCATCAATATCCCTTATAATTTACACTTCAAACAAATGTATATATTTTTGAAAACTGTATATTAGTAGTTTTTGATAAAATTGCGGAATAAATTGCACGAGAAAGGTTTTAACTTACCAGCAAAATCGAAAGAGACAACGATTCAACAACGATCCTTCATGTAACATGTGTTTATTTTATATTATTGTATATTTTTGCGTTTTCATATAGAAGTAATTTCAATTGCATTTCGAACTTTAACATCAGAAATGTCTATTCTATTCGGTTGAAGTATCGCCGTTTTTAATCTCGAGAAAAACTGTTTATCCTTGACCTCTAAGTAAACAAAAGAATGAAAATATTCGATCATATCTTTTTCTCTTGGTTGATTAGTATTTCCCTGAATTAATATAACTATCAAATGGTTATACTTTTGAAAACGTGTTTTCTCTATTGCCCTTTGAAACACAAATAGTTGTAGTTCATCAAATGAATCATGGTTTGAGGTAACGAAAATTGTATGTGACGAGGACTCGACAGCGAGACCAATATTTGTTAATATACAAACACCAGGATGAAAATGACTATCCGGAGTACAAATTCTGTATGATTCCTTTTCCAATCGAGGTATTAAGTTGTTTTGGCAGAAATCACGTTCATCACTCGAATAACAAAAGAATAAATCATATTCATGATTTTTGGTATAATGTAGAGTCTCATCTATAGGAAGTAACCGTCTGTGATTTAAATCGGCCATCATATCTTGATTTGCACTGGTTTTATACGAAGTCAGAATATATCGTATTTTACTTAGAAAAAGTGATTCCTGACATCTTAAATGCTGATGAAGCTTTATATATTTTTGTAATTCTTTGTTTAACTTGGCAACTCTGCAAGTTCGAGCGATATTTGTTACTAGAAGAAAATTTGCTCTATTCACTTTCATTTTATCTTGACACTCAGCCAAAGTAAAATCTAATAAAACTGAATCGGATATCATATTTTCCGATAATATTAGAAGGACGTGCTTGCTATAAAATACTGCCGAGGAGATATTTTCATGCACAGAATATCCAGCAATAAAATCATTTGCTTGACTACAAATAACAAAACCTAACTGTTGTAATGGTAGCACCAACTGCTCGTCTACAAATTCTGTCGTGTCTATAGCGTGTATAATTGTCAGATCTACTATTTCGTTTCGATCAAGTTTCCCGCGATCAAAAGGATGCCATTCAAAACTGACATATAAAAGAACTTTGATTTCAAATCTATAATATACTAATGAAAATGCAATCACGCTGATAATTAATATCACTGATGTAGCTGCAGCGACTGGTTTGGCATAATTGTGAAACACAGTGGGATTCTTGCATGTAAATTTATAATCTGGGACATGAATTATTTGATGTCCATTCTTGCTCTCACTATTACAAGTGACCTCACGTAAGTTGTCAATTAAAAGAATATTTCTTAACAACCACTTTTTGAACCATAAAGTTCGACAGTCACAAACAAAGGGGTTGTTCTTAAGGCAGAGTTTATTGAGCTGTAAGACATCAATACTTTTTGGTATGTGAGTAAGCAGATTGTTATCAAGCTTTAAAATCTTTAAATTTTCCAATTTTCGGAAAATAGTGGGATCAATATTTTCTATTCTATTGTGCGATAGAATCAGTTGGCGCACATTGCTCAAGTAACTTCGGAAAATTAATTTCGATATATTATTATTCTCTAACCACAGATCCAAGTCGCTAGAGGACATAGTGTGTGGTAGTTTACTTAGTCCTACGCCTCTGCAGTTAACAATAGTCACATTATATACTTCCCGGAAATAGCACTTACACAAAGTCGGACATTCAGAAATATTCACCTGTGAATACGTATCCTCTGCTTTAATTGAGAGAACTGATTTCCTTTCGAATTCCCTCGGATATTCACAGAACCAATCAGTAAAAAAGTATTCGTCTCCTGTCCAATGTCCACTCTCTGTGAAATTTTGCATTAATTTATTAAAAGGTATAATATTCGAAAAACATGTTAAGTGGTTTTCTTTTATTTCGAATTTGAAATGCTTCAGCATTACCAACATAACACGTCTTGCATGGCAGCACATATCATCATCGATAAAGAATCCAGTAACTCTACTTCCGGTTAGATCAACTATTCTCCACTCATCGGTTGTCCTTAAAAAATTACTTTCAATCGAGCTGCTTGATGGATTTACACTTCTAAGTAGCGAACTAGTATCAACTTTTTCAAGAATAGCTGTCATATTTCTGAATGATATGTAAGTTGACTTAAGTTCAACTTTTCTTAAACTTCTTATATACAGAATACAGACCGGGAACTCAACCAATGGATTATGACTAAGTATAAGAGTTTTTAATGTTATACTGTTTACTGGAAGAACGCCATCTGTTATTGCAGTTATCATATTGTTTTCTAAATTTATTTCCATTAATTGTTCAAGGTCACTAAAAAGTTTTTCACGTAAGTATTGTAAGTTGTTGTGCGATAAACAAATATATTTCAGGCTTGGTAACTGATTGAATACTGTCGATGGTAAATCATTGATTTCATTATTACTGAGGTCAAGATAGGTCAGCTGATTTTGTCCTGAAAACGTAGATTTTCCTATAAATCGTAGCCCAACATTGGTTATTATAATAACCTGAAGTCCTAAAACATTCATGAACAGGTTTTCGTCAATTTCGGATATATTGTTATTTGAAATTTTGACAAAATGCAATAAACCATAAATTTTAACTTGTTGTTGTCCAGTTATCTCATTATTTGTTAGCGTTAGCTGTCTTCTAAAGATGTTAGGAGGAATACTAAGATGTAAAGACTTACTATAATGATCCTGCATGTAATCTGATCTAGAAAGATTATCGGGAAGAAGAGACACGTCTTGTGCCCATGGGAATTCCAATGTTCCACTTATGTTACAATCTACAAGACTGAGCGTCTGCAGACGTGGAAACTTTTGACGTATTATAGTTTGATTGATTTGTCCCGTGCACTGACCTATTAATATCTCTTTCACTTGGAAATTGTCGTCATTACAATTAAACAGGTTTTCTATAGAGCTCATTATATCATTGTGTATGGAAACTAGACTGACTGAAACAATTCGTTTGAATCCTTTACATGAAGTTGTTTTGGTTTGGTGTTCAGGAGAATAAAAGTTCCCAATATTTATCGTAAAAACACGTGAGTTTGTTATGCTTAGAAATAAATCCATTTCCTCTACGTCAAACTGGCATTTCATTAGCTGGACATATCCTATTACATTCGACTGAAGCATTGTTCTGTGTAAATCACCAAAGGACACTTTGATATGATGGTGGCAGACAAAGCCAAACAGTCCAATACGTTTGTTATTTGTGGGAAAATCAAAATGAGTAATGATATTCGTAACATTTACACTGCAATTAGTAGGTGTAAGAATATGTATTTGTCGTCCAATGCTTTCAATATTTTGTGAATTTAAACTGAAAAGCGGAGGATACATAAAAGGTTTAAGCTCTGTATTGCATTGCACATTACTTTCAACTTCGGAAACTACAGACATTAGTATACAGATGACTTTAATCATATTGTCCATGACCTTCGTACTTCGTACAACGGAATGAACAACGATATTTGACGGAAGTAACCTGAAAACTGAAAATATAAAAAAAAAAGTCTATTTTATACGATTGAGATTTTTTTAAGATTTCAGGCTTATGATTCGTAAAATAAACAATTAATAGAATAGTACAAATCATTAATATTGAGCTGCGTCAGATAGAAATCGACTTTTCGCAAGTGCACGTACATGTATAATACTTTGATCGATTTTGGAACAATCAAATAACAAACAAAAGATGAATGCTGGTCTGTTTTGTAGAGTTCTTATAACAATTCAATTTCCAAACAGTAAGAGACTTTCCGTAGAGATTTTTTTCTACCCGAAAAAGGTTATAAGACGTATTGATATTCATTTGCATAAGGTCGATATCTATCCGACGCAGCTCACTGTTCATATTATAGGTCAAGGTAAACACAAATAAATGATCGAATAATTTTAAATCGATTGAAAGTATTCAAAACGGAGACCAATTAGGTACAGGGTATTTATCGTTTGATCTTCAGGCATAACTGTTCGTACAATTCCAAATGAAGGTCAAGACCATGACCGACGAAATGTTGAGCGTGTGGGGGTCTATGGTAGAGTAAATTCATTTGAACAATTCTAAAGAATGTCTCGACCAGGACCGACAACATGTCGATAGCCTCTTCTGTCTATGGTAGTGGGAGTTAATCCTATACAACATTTATTCATTAATTTAAAATCTCGTATAGTGATTGCGGTCGTCGGTATTCAACCAGTGGTTTGCGCCTGTTTTCTTAAATTAGTCCTTGAAAGGCTCAATCTATAATAATTTGTGACTTTTATATGTCAATGCATTTAAAAACTTTAATAACCTAGAGTTTGTGGTTATTTAATATGTTGTTTTAGAATATAATACTAAAAAGTAAATTTGACAAAGTTTAGTTGATGATTTATTCATCAAAAAGTTGATTTCTGTATAAATTATTGTACAAAACACCTTTTACTAACTCATTACGTAGAGCTATATTCTATAAATGAGGGTCTGGTTGAAGTTTATCGGAATAATTGGCACTCAGTGCTCTTCAACTTCGTACTGTGTTTTTACCTTTTAAAATTAAAAGCCTGGTTTGTGTTACAGAATAGAGAATAATGGCAAAAAATGATTAAAGAATAGAGAATAATGGGTTACTAAAGTATACAGAATAACTATCATGGAAAAAAAGAATTATGTTCTAGAATACCAATTACAGAATGATGTACAGAATACAGAAATCATAGTTACAGAAATAAAAAAAAATTAGAAAAATAATTTTCATGAGAAATTTTACTGAAAAAGCATTATTTTTAAAAGATAAAGAAAAATGCCTTAATAATTCAAAGAATTGTAAATTAAATTAAGGGCCTCCCATCCAGACCCTCATAAATACACTTGTGTCGAAAGAAATACGTTGGCCCATAACATACTACACGCATTGTGTGTAGACACAGGTACACATGTAAAAGTAATATGTCATAGATTTGTATTCAGATAAACATCACATGATTGTGACAAATAAAATACATCATTATAACAATACAATGAAAGGACAAACTTTACAGAATAGTTACCGCAGAGTCAAATTGGATTTTTTTTTTATATACAGAAAAGAATGATTCGAAATTTATTCCTCAATTTCGGAAATGTACATATAAAAATAAGGAAATGTGGTATGATATCCAATGAGACAACTATTCAACAAAGTTCAAATGAAGTGGATGTAAGCAATTATAGGCAACCGTACGGGCCTTCAACAATGAGAAATACCCATACCGTATAGTCGGCTAAGAAAAATATGAAACAATTCAATTGACAAAACTAACGGCCTAACAGGCGGAAACCCAGTTGAAATAGAACAAAAGAATCGAAGCTCTTTGTTAGAGAAGGCGATAAATGCTTACTGTAATGTTTACTGTAGTAACACAAATTTTAAAAGTTAATAGAAACAAATAAAATGACAGTTTTTTGCTAAATTACGAAATATTTTATCATAAAAACACAATTTGCATAAGTTTTCAATTCATCTATTACATAATTAAGCAGAACAATTAGATATCAAGTCGACGACATGGGTGTCTATTAAGTTGGATCTAAAAATGCATAACCTCCGATTTTTCAAAAAAATTTACCACGGACGGAAAACATATCAATCTATTTGTTCCTTAATTTTCGTTTCTGCCCTTCCATTATGTGACTCAAGAAAAAATTCCAAAAAATGGGCAACAATTGCATCGAAAAGAGAAAATCGAGTGCACCTTTTTATGTTAGGGCGTGTTTGAGTTGAATATTTTGTCTTGAAAACGTAAAAAGCAAAAGTATTTGATACATCATCTCGCTTCAGATTCTATCATTTTTATATATCAAGGCTACAGGTTGACTTTATAACATCGAAAATTCACAGTACTAAAAAAATGAAACATATAGGTCAAGTGAAATACCTTTCTAATGAATCATAAAAGCAGAGTAGGTGTGTTCGAATAGCAAATTTTTACTAAAAGTACTTGACGACAGACTTTTAAGTTGGATCTTAAAAATGCATATCTTCGAAAAAACTTCATTTTTTGTGTGTGATATCTAGGGTTTATAGTCTTCAACCACTGAAAATTTTTAGTCTGCCCTTCCACGAAATATTGAATTAGAATTTTTTTAAATGTTTATGAATTTTCGAAAATTCCACCTGACAACCGATCAGACAATAGTTTTAAGTTGACTGAATGCAGACAAGTACACTAACTGATGTTCGTTAGCTAGTAGATACATTTGTCTTTTAAAATACAACTGGCATATAAGGATCGTAATGGTGCTATGCGGATAAATTTATCGGTTTTCAAGAGCTAAATTGGCAGCGCGTCATCCCTACAATGGCTTCCATTTTTACGATTGTAAAAATGAACTGGCGTAATGGGGAGATAATTTTGACGAAGTAGAATCCTGACTGCTAAGTGAACGCTCAACCCTCCTAACCTGGGATAGTGGTGTTACAGCACAACATAAGAACAAGCTATTAAAAAAATTGAAAAGGGCTTAACTCATCAGATCTCTACACTTCATTTAACCGGTTATGTAATGTCAATATTTGGGGGTATTCGAAATAAGCATGATAAAAGGATAATACTTCTGCCATTCTTGAAACCCCATTTTCTATTTGTGTTGTTAGGTTGCTGTCACAGCGAAGTGTCCCAACAATCTTCATGTAGGTATGAAGTATTTCTGTATTCATACATAACTTACCTGATAACGTTCGTCTTCAAAAATCTTTTCAAGGTTTATAAGTATACAATCCGGAAGTTTAAGATAGGAAAATCCCTTCCTCTTCATGTATACATAGTAATACTGTCTTTGATTTAAACATCACGATCAAACAAGAGGTTCAAAATTTTTAACTCGTTTAAGTGAATATGTCAATGAAAATAAACCGTAGTATGATAATTCTATTGAACATAATACTAGGATTATATCTTTTAACCACATGTCAAGCATTTGGTTACAATTTAGATCTACTTATTCAGGTGTGTAATTTCAACAATATTGATATAAAAAGATGTCAGTGGTATGAGTGCAAATAAGACAACTCGCCATCTGATGACGTAGAAGTTAGCAAATATAGGTAATATTCGTTCTAACGATACAAAAATAAATGAAAAAAAAAGAGAGAAACCGAGTGCAGCTACATTGAAGTTCGAATTCGTTTATTAAAAACCTATTATTGTTTGTTTTAACAAATTTATGAGATGCAGTCAGTTTATAGATAAATATGCATATATTAAAATACCAATGTTTCCTATGAAAATACTTTTGTGTGTTCTCATACCTCATCACTTCCTTATTCGGATCAAATAAGTTAATTTGTCAAAAAGAAATGTTAACTTTTTTTTATACTTTTACTAACAGCAAAATACGGGTAATATAATTGCAAATCAACACATTTTCACATGCATGTATATTTTGACTATTTTTTACATTTAAAACGGACAGATGTCTACGAGTTTAATATTGCAGTGACAAAGGAAATATTTGTGTTGTTGTAATGTCCCAATCTAAACACACACCTTAACACAATATCATTCCAATGGCGTCATTAGATTGATCTGCATAGGTGAAAGTTGATTGATTAGGTTACGTAGTAGTATTTGTAAGGTATATTAACTATTTGCAAGATATTAATTAATTTACTATCAACTAAAATAACATCGTAATGAATAACAAAAGCGCTCCTAGCGTTTGAGTAAAATTAGACCCAAACTGTTCTGCCGCTTATGACGTTCAAACTGTACTACCGCTTATGACGTTCAAACTGTACTACCGCTTATGACGTTCAATCATATACAAATGTAAGTAAAACTATGAATAGGAATAATTAAATATCAATAGATGTTGATCACATATTCACTGTTTCTATAAAAAAAATATGGCTACATGTACAGTTTGTTTATAACACACATACGTGTGTAGGCAATGCAAGTTTTGAAATTCTGATCGTCTGAAAAACTATCAAAAATTTAAGTACAAAGATCCTATATAGACGCATCATCTCTAAATTTTGATCTTGTGAATTTATATGAGACAGTCTTCAAACAGCAGCGTCTCAACAAACAAAAAAAACCGCACCAAAAAACAACAACAAAAAAACAAAAGACAAAACCCAAATAACAATTTGTAAATGATGTCCTTTCAATAAATAATTCAAATTTGTAAATTAATCTATCCCAACAAACTTCCAACTTTGTCGGTGGTTGAGAACAAATAAATCATTTTTTTTGGTGTGATAAATTGTACAAATTGTAATAAAGTAAAATTTGGAAATTAATCTAGAAATGTTTCTTACATAAAACAAGACCAAAGAACCTTTACTTCTCAGATCAACGGACTTTTCTCCTATGTAACTCCCTACAAATGTAGATCAACGGACTATTCCTCGATTAACCGAATGACGCCCTTAGGCTATGGAATAGATTAAATATATCTGTGCGTAAAACATAAACGTTGTCTAAATTCAAAAATGAAATAAAAAAGAGTTATGGAGTAAAAAATAAAACGGTGCCTAGTTACAGTGCCTTTGGTCCTAGCAACTCCAATATTATTTTAATGCAATTTAGATGTTCAGCTTCATACCTTAATTATGATAAAAGAAATAAACATTGTATCAGATCTGTTGTGTGGTTCCCCATGAAGATTCATATTATTTCTTTTTTAAATGTCCTTCATATATATATACAAATTAACGTCGTATTCTTAAGAATATATGGTTACCAGATAACCTTGTATTGGGCCTAGAAATTATAACATCTGGTAGTAACAAGCTGACAAATGAGCAAAATGAAGAATTTTTCGGAAATATAGATATTTGATCTGAATTATTAATAACTAATTTAAATATGTGCATGCTTTGAAATTCTATTGCAATATTACATCTTAGGAGAAGATGATCTAAGTTGGGATAATTTTTGTCTAATCCTTTTTGCGAGATACGCTCAAACTTAAAAAAAAAACACCACACAAACAACGAACCAAAGACATTTCAAAACCAAATAGATGTATAAATTAAACACTACATGTTACTTTCCCAAACAAAATCGAGAAAACAACCAATATAAAAATATTAAAACAATGAACCAAAGGCAAAACAAATCAATACATTCCCCTTACCATTCGAAAACACCCAATCATTGCACCTCCCTTTGTCACAATTATCCATTCAACTTATTATTAATAACTCGCAAATTTATACAACTAATATTATTAAGTGAAAAAAATTTCAGTCATTCAATATTTTTTAAGGTTAAAAAAATTTATTTATTATATTTCGATGCACAATCAATTTAAGTAATTACCAACTTACAGCAACTTAACCATAGGTATTTTAGCTAAGGCAATTTGCCTGTGATGTAGTCTGTAGTTTCGATGAAGAACATGGATACATCATAATAAGACAGACCATATTAAAACAATATCCTGTGAGATCAGCTATTTTCACTCAATTGACCATTTTTCTCTCGGTTTAATGAAATATTTGAAAAATATTGTTACACATTTCAAATTCCATTTGTTCTATTCTATATTTTGTATACACACGTTACAAATCAACGTAATTTTCCGTAAAAGGGGAGAAACTTGACCTCTATAGACATTTCCAAAGTCATAAACGAGAAAGAAAACAAGGCAAACATATATTTCGATGCACAATTTAAGTAATTACCAACTTACTGCTACTAAACCATAGGTATTTTAGCCAAGGCACGAAGGAAACACGCTAAGATTACTGAAGTTAAAATATCATCAAAGCAAAGTAAGTTGGCAGAACACATGTCATGTAGGTATATTAGCTTGCATAGACAATGCGGTAATCTTCTTCCATATGAATTTTCCATAAACTTTCAGGACGTAAAACAATTATTCAACATACACTTATAATATTTACCCTTCTTTGGGATGCAAGTTTTGATTAAAAAAAAAACAACAAATGATCCTTAACAGGCGAAGACAACAGCCTTGATCGTTTTTTCTAACATAAGCTAAAAACTAAGATGGGACACTTATTGTTTTAATACTACTAGTTGCTGTTTTAATTTGTACATGCGTGCATTCTATTGCAATATTTGTCAACAAACATTAGCAATCGCATTAAAAGATAAATGGATGAGTTGAATGAGGAAAGAAAAAGGAGAGACAACTCTATTTGACTATCATAACGACCAGGATGTTATTGAGTTATTCCGCATGCATTGTATAATAAAGAATGTTAGAAATTTGTGAACATGTTTGTCCTGCGTTGGATAAAATCAATTTGACTGTAATCACATTCCTTTATTCATGTAGTGACACCTATCTTTTAGAAAGAATTTAGCTCACAGGCACTTGGCTCTGTTGAGAAACAAGTGACTGTGAATTAACTATGAGACGTTTCAAGATACCGGTGTTACTTCAAAAAAACTTTTAATTGATGTCCTGTCCCGCGTAACATTTTGCATGATGCTGTTCGACATAAAACGAGTGTAGCGGATTCTTTTTTCTTCCAAATTTCTTATTTTGTTTCCCCGTTCATGGACGTCATAACACCTTAAAAAGCTTCATAAAGCAATATTCGCTTTCCATTCAAAAGAAAAGCGGTTGGAGTCGATAAATATGGAATCAGTTGACGAATGAAGTTAATGTTGTGAAATTTAACGTTACATCAGATTTAAAGATGAAATTCAGAAAATTATCGTAAGTATGATGTATTTATACCAAAAAAATGTACATTTACTGTACTTTTTTTCACTATGAATATTCAAACGACACTCGTGTCACTAAATTTGTAAGAAAAATATGTAGATGTCCAAAGAATTGTCCCCTTCACACAAATTGTACGTTGATGTATTACATGTATATTCTGAGTGCCAGAAAACTTGCATTCAACAAGATTTTTGATTCAAATATGCACAAGATTTGAAAAGTACAAATGCTCAAGTAAGTGTTGGTACATGTATGTTGATAGTGCGCTACAGAATAAAAAAAAAGGTATCTATAAACAGTTGTGTCCGATCCAATGTCCCAAGGACTCATTTTTAACGTTTTGAACGTCGAGACACGTGAATACTATTATACTAGTATACAGAACGCATTGGTGTTAATACAAATAAATGACTTAAAAAAAACTTCCAAAGTTCCGTAAAATTAAAACAATGCTTCCTCTTGTAAGACCAATTTCATGTTTTACGTGTAATGTTCGTGTCGAAACAACCGCGGAGTGTTGTTAAATGAATTACAAATGGTATAATTCGTATTCATACGATGGGAAGGCCGGTCGACAATGAAGCTGATTTGGAAGATGAACAAATAGGAGTAGCAGCTCCATCGTTGAAATCTCGAGTGTCCGTCGATTATTTAGTTTCCGTGTTTACTGACGAGTTTGCCTTAAATGCAAACAAGTAAAACGGCCATTATACCTGCTGCATCTGTTGCTTTTATCTGTTCCGAAATCAAAGCAAACAATGACATTTTTTTACAAGAATCATAACGTTTCGACACTTAAGAAAGTCTCAATGATTACATGTAAATCATAACCAAAAGCCTGTAAAAAAACTCATCATAATTCAAATATTATACAATTACTTTCTTAAGAGAAAGAAACGTAAACAAATTTTCCCCAGAAAATTTAAATCTGTTCTTAACGCGTTACTAAAAAATAAAACGGCGTAAGCGCGTTACGTTAAGTGACACCAGTATCTTCCGACGTCTCTATAAACTTTATACTTTAAACAGGTCCTAAAAATAAACCTTAACCTTAGATATTATAGTTGAGAATCGTCCTGAAATGCATGAAATATTTGCCACTTGACGTTAAACAACCAACAATCAATCAACATAGTTTTGGATGACATGTCTCTATATCATCGAATTTGTTTTATTCTTTGAAACGATATTTCTTCATTGTGTGAACTTGCATTTTTAGTTTTGTTTATCGATACCATATAGATATAAGAAGATGTGGTATGAGTGCCAATGAGACAACTCTCCATCCAAGTCAAAATTTATAAAAGTAAACCATTATAGGTCACAGTACGGTCTTCAACACGGAGCCTTGGCTCACACCGAACAGTAAGCTATAAAGGGCCCCAAAAATTACTTGTGTAAAACCATTCAAACG